ATTTTCTACTTCTTATTGCCATATATTTTTCATCGCTTTCACAGCATATCAAGCATATATCTGCAGTTCTAAACTTTTCTTGTCATATTATGCCCGCTGCGTCGCTGTAGATTTTCATTTTCATTTTTCCATCAAAACGAGCCCAGTTATAAGTTTTCCCTCCCTCCCTGCAGCGTATGCAACACTTTTCTGCAACTTTGTGCTGCATACAATTACATAATTCAATTAAAAAGTTGACAATGTAAACGGGCTGCTAGGGTCGGGAAATGTCAATGAACAATTCAATTAAAAGTAACTCACACGCTGATATCAGAGTGAACAAGGGAGAACGGTATATTCGCCTATCATATACCCGTTACTCAGCTAGCTAATTTATCTCCTGATCAAGAATGTATATACTTTTTAGGACCGGAAACGCTTCCTTTTGCTGCTACATACTTTCCCCGAATACAATATACCCATTTACTCTGCGAGAAAATATCAAATAATATGAGAACTATGGAGGGTGGTGTTGAAAGTGTTTCCGAATATGAACGAATATTAATGATGACCTGGGGGAGCGAACAAAAGGAGTGCAGAGACCGAAGGCTCCAAAGCGGCCTACAAATCAGGGAACAACACTGAACATAATTAACTATGCCAGCAATTACTCTTGCAAGGAGGTCAACCTGACACGTGCCTGCTTCACCTTTAGTCTGCCTGACGGCATTTGTTGTTGACAAATTATTGCGAGCCTTAAATTGAATGCAAATCATTGTTCGACACACAGCCTTACCCCATCAATGCCCATCAATAATCGGTGACCTCTTTGAGTGGCCAAGAACAAGGTTGTGTCTTGGATTTCGTCATCATTGTCATCAGCTTAGCTGCAGCCATTTCAATTCGCCTAAAAGCTACGGGAATCCTTTCAAGAATCACCAGAAAAAGTCCGTTTCAAAGCCTGTCTCTGTGCTTTTTCTTTTTGTGCTTACTGCCAAAAACTTTTGTCGCTGCGAATTGTCGACAAGTTTTTCTTGAACCCTTTGTCCTTGCAACTTGGCATTGGCATAATGAAAGTCTTCGGTAATGAAAACATGTCCGGCCATTGGAAATAAGCCAAAAAATTTGAATAGCAAAAAATGTTTATAAATGAAATTAGGTAAGTGACATTGAATCCTTTATGACTAAGTGCTATTAAAACCACCAGTACATATATTCAGAGTGCACTCTGTACGTTTCGCGACGTCTTCTTGGTTACATGAAGGCAATTGTTTAAAAAGTTTATTGATGCTAGGGAATTTTTTATGGTAAACGGAAGCAAACTAAACTGAAATAAACAATACACTATTAAAACAAGAACCATTCTTTAAGAGGCGAGCTAAAAAATGTACCTGTCTAGGGCTGTATCAAATTAAAAACCAATTAAGTATTTAAAATTAACAAAAATAGAAGTAAAGATTTCATTCTTAACTATTTAATCATTATCATGTCCTTTTAATGAATTTGGCAATTCGGATAAAACAAGTAATCGATTCCATTTATATACTATATATATACTCAGGTTATTCCCTATACTGTTCGATTGCTGAATTGTTGAGTTTCGGTCAGCTGTTAATCAGCTGTTCAATACAAAGTCAACTTTCAGAAATTTGTTGAATTGCTGAAAACCAGAGTTGTCGCTCTTCTCGACTAAAAGTAAGAGGGTAACTCTGGTCACTTGTAAACATGGAGGAACTGCAATCGTATAAAATATGCAAACAAATGATAGGATGCTGCCTGTTAGCAGTTCTAATAGTTTAATTTTTTGGCTTATTCTCGGCATTTTCCTTAATTTTAAGCATAATCTTTGGTAAACACAGCCGGCCAATTTGACAATCTGACAAACAGCTGACATCTTTAAACTGAACATTCAACAGGGAACTTTTAGGGTCGTTCCCTTAATTGCTGAAATTTTTCGGGAATACCCTGACTATAGTACAAAGATATTCAGAAATGTAGACAAATACGTTTTTGTCAGACAATGTTTTTGTTTGAGCAACACAGATTACAATACAAAACCCATGAAATTCTTGCAAGTTTTTCTTACAAATTCAATAAAATTATAACTTACGATATTGTCATTAAAAATTTTCGAAGGAAAGTTTAAGACTTTCAACAATTTTTAATGATATATTTCGCAGGCTTGGCGCATTTAAACTAGGGACCGTTAACACGATTTATTTGTGATTGCGAGTAAAGGGGTTTACTATATTCGTCGGAAAGTGTGTAACAGATAAATGGAAGCGTTTCCGACCCCATGAAATATATATACACATGATCAGGATCATTAGCTAAGTCGATCTAGCCATGTTCGTCTGTCCGTCTGTCCGTATGAACGCTGAGATCTCGGAAACTATAAGAGCTAGCAATTTCTTGGGTTTCCTGCGCTGCGCAAGTTGTTTCAGCAGGGTGCCACGGCCACTCTAACACACTCCCATAACGCTAAAAACCTTCTAGCACCCACATTTTTAAATTAATGTAAATGTAATGTTATGTAAAAATTAAAAAGATATATTGTTGTTATTATCAATATTAATCTACATGCCAAAAATTGTTCAAATCGGACCATTCGTTAAAAAGTTATAGGCAATAAAAATGATTAAGCTTGGTTTTAGCCGCTTTGCTGCTTAAATATCTCCATCTCCCTTAGTTTCATAGTCGATTTAAAATTTAGTATAAAATCAACGACGTGTTGGACAGAATAAGGTAAACATAGCTTGGTTTTGCGATCCGGGCAGATCAGAATAGTTGTATTTTCATAAGTGAACACTTATTTAGAAGACTAAGAGTTTAAGAGAAAAGGATGGAGCAAACGGCCGTTACCGGACCATTGATTAGACTGTCGACTCCATCAAGTCTTAGGAAACTGTGATCACTCCTTCATAGCGCCCCGGTGATATCATTCCATAGTAACGATATAGTCCGAAGAAGACTCCATTGCCGAAGGTTCCAACGGGCATAACACACCAACCATGGAGCGATTGCCAAGTAGCGACTAGTTAGTTCTTAACGGAACAACTATGCAATTGGACTTCCCCTCCTGATCATTTTAATTTATCAAAATCGATCCAGTGAAAGAAAGCTAAAGAGAAAAAACGCTGTTCTATTTAATTAAATAGAAACTCATCATGTGTGTTTTATTTTAATCTTAATAATATTTGCTGCATGTTTTTCAATATGTCGCCTATTCACTGGTAATCACTGTTTCCGAAGGCAAGAAAAAGTGTATCTAAACACTTTGGATTCTACTTGTGCAGTGCACTGAGGAAGTCGTCTCCAACATAAATGTACACACATGCATAATATCATATATTCTTGATCAAAATCACGAGTCGATACAGCCAGCTGTTGGTCCCCGCTCTCGTCGGCGCTCGTAGGCAAACCGCATATAAAGGGTGAGGACGTACAATTTCAGTTGCTCTGAAAAATATGCGAAACTAAATACAATTCGAGTACCAGCATGTGGAATGTTTTCAGATCCAAATGTTTATTTCATTGTTATTAGCAAATTGATCAAGCATGGTCCTGCCAAGAAGGACATAAGCTGGAGGTTGGTCAGTTCCTTAAAAAATGCATAGCAATATTTATTTTTAAGATGAGTTCCATTGCTGAGATCCGAGCCGCTGAAAGGATACTTGGTCCAAAAACGCACCAACAACAATTTCCTAATAATTTCCTTTTTTCCTTCTCAAATTAATCCCGAAACGCGAAGTGCAAAAAACATGGTCGTAAAACATACCGAATAACAAGAAAGGAAGTTAACTTCGGCAAGGCGAAGTTTGTATACCCTTGCAGTTATAAGAGATAATAAATGTTAGTAACATGGTTATTTCTGTAATCTAAAATAGGAAAAACGAGTATACCTAGGTAGCCTACCTTAAAGTTTGAACACCAGTACGCCGGTTCCATGTTATTCGTGTCCTGACACCACCCTATTCAGCAAAATATTATAGTCGTCAGATTTTTGTGTAAAAATAAATTCGTAATTCTGGAAAGCTAAAATATTCTATATACCAGAGTATATTCTATATCCCACAAATTTTCCGATCGTTCCTATGGCAGCTATCTGACGAATATATCAGTCAGATTTTGATAAAATTAAATTCGAAACTCAGAACTAATTAAAAAATGTTATTTCCAAGAGTAAGAGGTTATATGTCAGAAAACACCAAAGATATAGTTTTTTATAATTTTTTTCCCGATTATTCCTATGGGAGCTATAAGATATGGTTGTCCGATCCGGCTGGTTCCGACTTATATACTACCTGCAAAAGATATAAGACTTTTGGGAAAGTTTCAGCCCGATAGCTTTAAAACTGAGAGACTAGTTTGCGTAAAAACGGACGGACAGACGGACATGGCTAGATCGACTCGTCTAGTGATGCTGATCAAGAATAAATATTCTTTATGGGGTCCTTCACTTCGTTGCAAACTTCTGACTGAAATCATAATACCCTCTGCAAGGGTATTAAAACACTGAAATGTGGCTGGTTAACAAAGTAATATGATCAATGATATTATAATTTTAAAAACTCAGAGGTCAGGCTCAGTGAAGCAAATCGTAAATTTATTAATGAGTAAGTTATTTTTGCGCCACAACATCTTTTTGAAAAGCGGCGATTTTGGATCTGTAGCCCATACATATCCTACAAGTTCGGCGGTTGCGCTTTCTTCAGCATGACCAATATCATACTCAGCAGGCGCTTTGCGCTTGCGTTTTTGTATTTGAGGCAAATTCGATGAAATCGAAGTTGAGGGTGACAACAGGTTCCCCAACCGATCAGGAGATCCGCTTGAAGTTGCACATACCAGCACGGAATACAACATATTTATAGCTTTTTCAATCCCTTTTTCAACTTCCTCATCGTCAGGAAACGCTGCCTCAAAAGCATCAACAGTCAAGTCGATATCCAATTCATTTTCTCCGTCCGTATCAATTATAAAACCAATTGAATTCAGCAACTTCTCGGTCTCCCCATCGAAAAGACATGATAGCTTATGCTGTCGTTCCATGTTTATTGAAGCAATTATTTAAACCTAAATGTTTAAAAGAGAATAAAATAATTTGTTTCACCTTAACAGTCGTAAATGCCGGTGATGGTCAAGAACATCCACATGTGGATACCGGCGAGGAGACAATGTCGAAGCACCGCCGCTTAACTCCAGTTGCGCTGACCTTAACTGACTGTGTCAGCTCAGTTGGACATGCTGTCCAAGCTGACAACAATGACCGAGCATGAAATCGGACACTTTGCAAAAGGAACACACTGAACAAAAATAGCAAGACACTGAATTAAAACAGGTCTTTATAGAAAAATGTGCACAAGTGTTCAGCAAATTGGAAAAATATTTAGAATTATGATCGATTTATTTATTATATAAGAGGAGCAGAATGGTCCACTAATGTTTTCTTCCATTTCTGATTCAACTGCGGCCTCTTCAATGTAGTCTAAGTGAGTGCCTCGACTTGCCAATTTCGCTTTTTACAAATGTTTTGCAGTGCACAGCAGACATTAACAATGTGGCAACAAAACATGGGCTCATAATTCAATCTTCTTGGCAACGAAAACGACTTTAAAGGACATTAATAGTGCGCTCGATAAAATTCTTTAAGTTAAATTGATGCTGATGCATCCAATTCTGTGAGTTCCTATATGGAGTCAATACGAAGCTCTCTGCAGCGTACCAGAGTCAGCTAGAACAAGATTTCCGTTTAAGATCTTAGACAAAACTTATCTTGCACTGGAGTGATTTCAGATGAAAGAGTCATGGCAGGACCGAGGATGGGTGGAAACAATGGCGACTATCTCCATGCTATAATTGCAAACTGAAAAAAATTAATTGTTTTACATAGACATAACGGATTATATATTTAACTTACCACCTTGGCGTTTAAGATGTAATATCCTTTCCTAATACAGAATACTGAGTAATTTTGTATTGGCTTCTGAATTTTGATGTGAGTTTCATCCACACAAGTGTTCTCGAGATGTCTGCATTTGACGGTGGGTCATATGTATGGAAATTTCATCTTGACATAAAAGCCTGTTCATTAAGGGAATAAATAAATGGAGAATTAAAAAAAAAACTGCGTCCAATGTTAATGTGGTGGTCCTTGGCAACTGACAACTGGTAGCAGCCAGTAGCTAGGAATTGCATTGTTGCAGCCAATTGCAAAATCATTTTGAAAGTACCTTTATCCACTCTAAACGACTTCGCGAACCGGAAAGAACCGTTGGAGATGGTAATTTATATAATAATAAACAAAACAGCTGTTTAAGACATAGTACTCAGATCGATTCTGAATTTCACTACTTGAAAAAACGTATTCTTCGTCGTGTGACCGTAGTTTTCAAAGCTCTCCCGCAATGCATGTAGCACGTCCGTCTGTCCGTCTGTCTGTCCGTCCGGATGAACGCTGAGATCTCGGAAACTATGGGAGCTAGGCTATTGAGATTTGGCGTGCAGATTCCTGAGCTTCTTAGGCAGCGCAAGTTTGTTTCAGCAGAGTGCCACGCCCACTATAACTCCCACAAACCGCCCAAGACTGTGGCTCCTACAGTTTTGGTGCTAGAATAATAGAATAAAAATTTTAACTGAAATGTATTGGTCTCGTCAATACCTATCGATTGATCCAAAAAAAATTTTGCCACGCCCACTCTTACGCCCATAAGGCTTAAATCTGTATACCGCCGGAGGTGGCGCATTTTAATCTCGCTTTGCTGCTTGCATATCTCTATTTAGCTGAGTAACGGGTATCTGATAGTCGAGGTACTCGACTGTAGCGTTCACCCTTGTTTTCTACTAAATTTATTACTAAGATACTTTGGCCGGAGGCGACCCTTCCCTGTGCTCCCTGTGGTCGATCGAATGGTCGTTTGCACTGAGTAATCGTCTCTGGCGCAACACGATTCCCGACCGGCACAGATCACTGCACGTGGCTCGCGACTACCTAAACCGTATGTGGGGCGGGGTTCCCAGGAGAGGGTGGCCAGAGGAAGATCCTTTTCTATGCTCCTTGTGGGCGATCGGGTGGTCGTTTGCAACGAGCAAGCTTCTCTAATGCAACACGATTCCCGACCGGCACAAATCACTGCACGTGGGTTTCCGAAAAATGCACAAATTCACGCGGACACATACTTCTTCATTCTCTTTTATCTTTATTATTCGCTAGTTTCACAAGTTATTTTCCTAGTCCCCTACTCGCACTCAGTCTGATCTCTATTGTCTGTGTCCCACTTACTCCTTGGATCCGGCGTGCCGACGCTCGTGCCGCTGTGCCACTCCGGGTTGAAGTCCGCGAGCTTCCGAGCGAGCTGAGCTCGGTTTGCCGGGATTTTTCGTTTTCCCAACACAGTTTCTTATCGATTCTCCGCCTATCGCTATCGGCACTATCAGCTGTTGGCCCTCGGTTGACCAACACTGCTTAGCTTCTAGTTTGAACTTAAATAAATTGCCTTCGTGGCGTAACGACTTATGGCTAACTTATGCTTATAACTTATAAATAAATGGCCGTCGTGCCGTAATATCCAAATGTATGCCTTCGTGGCGGAAAGAATAAAAGTGGCGAAATGTGGAGGGTGTGTTTCACGCATCCTCACACTCTTCTATAGCACTACTGGGCCTACAGTGCCAACTAGCCTACAGCGCCCCTAGCGGCTTGGTGACGTATTAGTGAAAACAGCATATTCGCTGCATGTGGTATGCTATCTCGATTGAATGGCAAAATGTTAAAAAAATTTGGGCGCTAGACGGGTTTAGTTTTATAGTCGTTTGAGGGCGATACAAAACCAATTTGCGCTGCCCAGGAAGCCCACAAATCTGAATGCCAAGTCCCAATACTATAGCTCTTAAATTTCCGAGATCTCAGCGTTCATACGGACAGACGGACATACGAACATGACTAGATCGACTCGGCTATTGATCCTGATCAAGAATATATATACTTTTTGGGGTCGGAAATGCTTCCGTCTACTTTCCGACGAATCTATTATACCCTTTTACTCTACGAGTAACGGGTATAATAAAGTCAATCAGATAGCTGCAGCTGGAGATATAGATTCTCAAACAGAGAACCGTTTTAAAATTTGGCGTTTTTTGCCAACTTATAAAAATTCTAACTAAAAATCATTTGTTTTTGGCCAAATCCGTTTCAGGCAATCAAAAGTTTGACCCAAGAAAGGGTGTTTGGTTTGTAAAAGAAGGGCCCATGTACACTATTTATATATGATGGACGTTGATGCACTACGAGCAGTACAAACAAGTGGCCCAACGACACCAAGCACGTGCTTGTTACGCGCGGGGCCCTTTTATCAATTTGGGCAAAAATACGAGTTCGCGAGGAAGATACAAAAAACAAATAGAGACGGGACACAAATGAAAATAAAAGAAGCATCTAAGAATGAAGCAAATGAGTTAAAATATTAGTTTTTAATACCGGGATAGAAGTTGAAGTGCAAATTAAATGATAAAGGTTGTTATAATTATTACATAGAACGCGAAAGGGCTCGTGCAGACAAAAATTAGATGTACATCGTGGCAAATTTAGGGGATAATAATTTCGTGTTAGTCTAACAGGAACATTGAAAGTTAGGCGGTTTACAAGTTCTACAGAATCAATATCACCTCTTATAAGGTTTTGCATAAAAATAGTACCAAGCATTGTTCTACGATTTGCAAGGGTAGGTAAATTAAGCAATAGTAATCTACTCTGATAGGAAGGTAGCCTTATGTTTTGATCCCAGTTCAAACTACGAAGGGCAAAAAGAAGAAATTTTTTTTGTACCGACTCAATACGGTCAATATGCACTTGGTATTGTGGACTCCAAACCGAAGAACAATATTCCAAAATAGGACGGACAAGGGAGGTAAATAATAATTTGGTTGTATAAGGGTCATCAAATTCTTTTGACCAACGCTTTATAAACCCAAGAACACTCATGGCCTTGCTGACAGTGGACATTATGTGGCAGTCAAATTTAAGTTTTGGGTCCAGAAGAACGCCTAAGTCATTAACTGAAGATATACGGTCGAGTGGCGTATTTTGAAGAGAGTAACTAACAAAAGTAGGAGTACCTCTATGAAAAGTCATAACGTTGCATTTAAGGCAGTTCAAATTTAAAAGGTTATACTCACACCATCCCTGAAAACAATCAATATCTGACTGTAAGTTGAAACCCGACGCTATATCATTATGTGATAAACAAAGCTTAACATCATCAGCATACATTAGTACACGAGAGTGTGTTATGATAGAGGGAAGATCGTTAATAAACAAAGTAAACAGCAAAGGGCCCAAATGACTACCCTGAGGCACTCCAGATGTCACATAGATCAGTTTTGAGGCAGCGTTCTTGAATATAACCCTCTGAGTCCTACCATTCAAATAACTTGAAATCCAAGTTAATAGATTACATGGAAACCCAAGCTGATTTAATTTGAATAAGAGAAGAGAGTGGTTGACAGAGTCAAAGGCCTTACTAAAATCAGTGTATATAACGTCAGTCTGCATTTTATTCTTAAATCCATTTATTACAATAGATGACAATTCCAGAAGGTTGGTGGTAGTCGATCTTCGCTTAACAAAACCATGCTGACACGGTGATATTAGCGAGGAACATAAATGTTGCAAATGAGAAGTAATAATACGTTCAAATGCTTTAGGAATTGCCGACAATTTAGAAATACCTCTGTAATTCTGGGCATCCGCCTTTGCACCCTTTTTGTGAAGTGGAATGATAAAAGAGTCCTTCCAGATAGTAGGAAAAACTGACGATGAAATAGACAAATTAAAAAGTTTAAGAATCGGTTTACATATGGTTGACGCACAAAACTTAAGCACACACCCGGGGAGTCCATCAGGACCGGGAGAATAAGTTGGCGTTGTTTTTTCTAAGTCTCTTACGAGAGAAATTTCCGTAATTTCAGGGGTAAAGATACAATTTGCCTTATTTAAGGGATTAGGGTAGTTCGAATTTGACCAAGCAGCCGAACTATAAGTAGTTTGGAAAAACTCGGCAAATAAATCAGCAATTTCAGAATCCGTCGATGCCTCCATTGAGTTAAAACGTACCGATGAAGGCAATGCTGACGACTTACGCTTGGCATTGACAAAGTTATAAAACTGCTTCGGATCATTTGAAAATTCAAATTTACATCGACTTAAATACATAGAATAGCAATGACTATTAAGAACATTAAAATCCGATCGAGCCACCACATATTTCGAAAAATCAGATGGCTTACCCGATTTCTTATACTTTTTATAAGTGTTTGTCTTAAGGTTTTTAAGTCTTTGAAGCGCATTGGTAAACCAAGGTGGCCTGTTTGTCTTTGAAGGAAACCTATCAGGAACGCATTCATTAAAAAAGGTATTTAACACTATATAGAAGTGTTCAGTGGCGCTTTCAATATCCATACAATTGTACAATTCTGTCCAATTATATTGAGAAATCATGTCGTTAAGCTTTTTAAAGTTACATTTTCGGAAACATCTCACTTTAGTTTGAGAAACTAAAGGAGAGAGGGTATCAACGCATGGGAGGCAGATTGTCAATTCCATTGTTGGATGATATTGGTCTTCAGGTACAACAAGAGCGTCAATTCTAGATACCGTGACTTCAGACGGGTCTGAAACAAACACAAGATCTAGTTGTCTATTTAATAAATTCCGTATAAAGCTTACTTGCTGTAACGATAATTCTAGAAGACCATCAACAAAATCATGGGCGGATAGAGGTATAGCGACTAGTGAGTCAGTAGGAGGAGACCAAGAAATACCAGGGAGATTAAAGTCACCCAAAACAATCAAAAGGTCACTGTTAGAAAGAAGGGATAGAACAGATTTTATCGCAGACAGGTGGTGCTCATAAATTATTAAATCAGAGCCAGGTGGAATATAGGAGCATGTAGCAAATATTGAGAATGATTGCAAGGAAACTTTCACACTAACAAATTCAATTTCATTAGGAGTATCAGAGTGAATTCTTTCGGAAGTTAGGCTAGTGCTAACGGCAATCAGCACACCGCCTCCCCTACGTGAGGAGCGATCGGTCCTATAGGCATTAAAATTGTTTGAAAGAACTTCATTGTCAGATATCTCTGGCTTCAACCAAGTTTCCGTAAAAGCCAAAATATCAGCAGTAAATGCAGAGGAGTCAGCATAAAGCTTGGGTAGCTTCATATTTAGTCCCCTAACATTTTGATAGGCCAAAAATAAACTTTTTAGTTTTTTGGCGCCGTGGACGGTCTGTTATTTGTTCTCGGTTTATTGGGAACAAATTCTTTTATTACTAAATCATCATTAAGCCAAAAGCTTTCAGAAAGTAGTACCTTAAACACATCAGGCGGAGCAAATATTTTAAACGACGATATACTACGAGCATATGAAAATCTAAATTGTTCCACTGAAATATTCTCGGATGGGAATTTTTCACGAATAAATTCCAAAACATCCTCAGATGTGGTATCTGGAGTGAATCTCGAAACAAATAATTGTTTTCTTTGTGGAACAACTGATAATTTCTTACGACCCCCAGCAGCAGATTGCACCTCACTAAGCTGAGAGCCAGAAACGGTAACTTCTGTACCTATAGGTACGGTCGGCACCGTAGTCGGCACTGAAGGTTTTTTTACCACCCGACTTCGAGAAGCAGTGACTTCACCTAAAACAGCTGTATCCATAGGCGCAGTAGGTTCACTTACCACAGTGTCAACAGAGACTGCTGCAGCCACCAAGTTCGGATTTGGGGTGGATACCGTGACCGTATTAACCGCCGCTGAGCTGGTTTTTTTACGTTTAGGCGACTCAGTTAGTAATTTTTTATTATTAAATTGGGCACAAACGGAATTGAACCCCTCATTGAGCTGTTTAAAAGCACCAGAGAGATTCAAAAGGCTGTCTCGGGTCTGCTTCATAAAGCCGCTCATCTCAACAATCATTTCCTTGCAGGATCCACATGACCACATGAGTCCAGAATTCTGATCAATAAAGTCTTTGACTCTACCAGTAAATCCTGCGCATTTAACGTGCATTATCGACTCGCAGAGCCAGCAGAAAATAAAAGGGTCTTTAGTTGAAGACGACAGAGTACAATTTTTCTTAGAGCACACAAGAGCCATTTTAAGGAGATTAAATAAAATAGAATAATATATGAAAAATACCTCGAGTAAATTTGGCACTGGGATCAAATTCCAAAACCACAAAGGCACAAAACACGAAAAAAAATAAGAGCGCGAGATCGCGTAATAATTAAAACGTAAGAGAGCACGAGAGAAAAAATCTTCTATCGATTGAGCGTTGCTTGTGGGACACTGACAACTTTACGCAGGAACAGTTACAAAGTAAAGCAAGCAAGAGAGAGAGAGAGAGAGAGAGACAAGAGAATAGCACACCAAAAGTCTACCAGAAATTTGGCAGGTTCAGAGAGAGTTTAAGTTACAGTTGTAATATAGAGCGGGAGAGAGAGTGAGAATCGAAGAGTTTTAGCAAGTTTAGTGAGTATAAGAATTACACTAACAAAGCTAGTAGATTAAACAAATCTAATATAAATGTTAAAATAACTATAATCACTGGGAGATCTAGTAAAAAACACTAAACACACTAACCCAGCGGTTAGACTAAGCTTTGTTAATAAACAAACACAAAACACTCGCAAAAAATCACAGAATAGACAAAAAATTCAGAGCACAAGAGTAAACACAACCGTTCACAAGCGACGCTAAATCATATTATCATATACTAAGATAAACGAGTATAAATACCCAAAAATTAAGTATCATTACCCTAAAATTTAGTAGAATTACTCTACAATTTATAAAATATCTTTACCTCAAATTTAAGGCAAGCTTGTCTTGAAGTCAAAAATAGGTAGATTTTTTTCACTTAATGGTTAATTTTATGTTGAGTGCAGTTGCAGGTCACTTCATTGTTTAATAATTAAGAAATTACACATGCCAACTTGTGGGTCTTTATAAAGCGGTCAAAATACCATTTCACAAATGTAAGTGAACTCTTAAGAGAACATAAATTTCCCTGCTACGCCTAACCATTATTTAAGAGCCAAATACGTAAAGAGAGAAAATTTACTAAGCGAAAATTTCCCGTCAAAAAAGCTTCATAATATATTAACACAAAACTCAATACTAAAAACTAGGTAAGGAATAACACGTTTTTAAATAAAGTAAAAAGTTGTTAAAAAGAAATTCTGAATTTTTTTTTGCTATTCGATAGCATTTTGTAAGCTCTTTACTTAGTGTAAATTATGGGGTTTATTGAGCTATTATTTTCATAATATTGACAAAAAGCATGCGTTCGCAAACGTACGCAAAATGGAAGTCGACTTGGGCTTAATCTAGTAAAATGCAAAAATCTGCGAATTGGGACAGAATAATCTAAAGCAATAACTTTACTTTTAAAATGGATTCATTTAGCTTTCTATCGAGTCTGTTCCCAAGGAATTGTCTCCATTTGTTTTTTTCATTGAATAAAGTTCCGGTCGCGAACGTACGATTTTTCCATGTTGTTTTATTAACAGTTAATTGAACATTTTTTCACCCTCTTATTAGATTGCAATAAAGAGATTTGGTAGAAAAAGTGCAAACAAATCATATGTTTTCCTTGCGAAATAATTAAACATAAAAATGCCTTCAAAAGTAGCTAAAAGTGAAAAAAAGTACATTTTTTCAGTTTTCAGAAAAATTTCTTCAACAAAACAAATGAAATATGCTTTAGTTCCACACTATTATGAAAATATTGCCATTTATTTATGAAAACACGCAAAAAATACGATGATTATGAAGATTTTTTGTTTCCTGCTTGACCATTTGCCGGATATGCCCATATATTTATACTTTATTTCAGACATTGTACATTCAAAAAATCATAAAAATAAAAGAAAAACAACTTTTGAAAATATACTTTTTTTTCCCCAAATTTAACATTTTTCTGTTACTGTATTCATATAGCCGTTTATGATCTATAGGCTACATAACTTTGCAAGTTTTAGGATTTCTTTTATTTTATAGGGGTTTAGTGATTCCAATTTATTATTAATAACTGTGGGAACTTTTAAGGGATCTTTAAGTCCTAAATCAAAAAAAATGATTGAAGGGATGAGAAAAAATATATCTTTAAAACAAATAAAAACAGTTTGCATTCTCAACAAGAAAAACTATATGATACCTTCTCGCCCAATTACAGCACGTTTTCTTTGAAACGTTATTATTTGTGACACTCGTGTAAATTAACCAGAATAAACTTTGGGAAAAAGAAGCCCTGACACGGCAAAATCCCATAATAATCGTAACAATAAACCAAATTTGCGCCTGCCTTTCACATAACTTCTGTTTTGGGTTAATCAGCAAAAGGTCACTTTAATTGAGATATATTCCGGGGGTATAGGAATCCCAAAAGGAACTCAATTGATAGGCACGGAACTCAGCTTATTGGCTTGCCAAATTGGCACACGATTATAATTTGCCATTTGCACAAAGAGTCTGAGGACCGGTTTCTCGAGGGCCGGCTAACATTTTTCGGACAGATTAAGTTCCTGCTAAGGGATTTTGGCATACCGGCCTCAATGTGAGACCTTATTTGACGGGGACCGAAAATAAAAACTATAGAAATAATTTTGATCGAAAAAGAAATCAAAAAAATTATGATCACATATTTGGTGGCAGAAAATATATACCACTTAAGTATCTATTGCTTATGTTTTTTGTTTGAATTCAGTTGGAATTTTTACTTAAGTATGTTCACAATTCTGATAGTCAAAGCACTCGATTATAGCGTTCTCCCTTGTTTTTTGCAATTGTTGGATAACTTACCATAAATTAAATTTTCGAAGATGAAAAATAAAATGTAAACTTATACAAAAGGAGGCTAGGAGTAAAGTTTAGGAGACTTTTAAGACAGTGAAGTGGAGTAGAGGTTGGCCTTCGCATGCTTCAATAAATGCAAGACAGTGTTTGCGAACTCTTAAAAAACGGAAACTGGCATACTCAATCGGCATAAATGAAATTAAAGATTTTTTCTGTGTCTGGTTACCAAATTTTGACACACTCTACTTGCCAGCAATCTAACATTTAGCCTATGCTTTGGTATCGCAAGTTTAGTGCTTTTATTATTTGCAAAACTAGGACTGTTACAACGAAAGTATTACTGAATGTATCAGTGCGAGTGACGTCTACTAAGAGTCACAGTGTGTTTTGTACGTATGACTGCCATTGATATAATGGCTTCCTGCGCCTTGATAAACAAGTCAAATTCAAAGTCAAATGTGCACCGTAATAAATGTATGAATATGCGCACAAAATACCTGTCAGTTTCATGTTTGCCATGACTTGTGAAAACTTTTGCAATCTACCTGGGGAAATGGTTATTTTGATTGGCTTTCAAAGTAAGCCATCAACCAACAGTCGAAGACTAATACTCCAATGATATGTATAAAAGCAACCATTTGGGGACAAAATTAAGTTATGAAATAAATAAACAAATATAAACAAAAATTGTTCATCGTTCAAAGGTCACAGTTTTTGAAAAATACCCTAAATATGTGAGTTTGTGAATAAGCAATTTAGCTGTTAAACGTTTTGCTTTACAACAAACCAAGAAATAAAATTGTATATGGCGTATACACTTTTGGAACGTAACATTTAAACTTAAACAATTTACCTTAGTTTAATTAAAACAAATACTTTTATATTAAACAAAAACGTCTCTTAACGAGGTAACATCTAGTAAAGGTTGGACCTTATACATGGCAGCGTAAATGCCGGAATAGCTGAGAATTTTTTTTTCGAGCTCAGCCTTAAAGCCGCTTTCTTAGACTAATTTGGGACCCACCCCTTTTTATTTTAATTCCTTTAAATTGTATATACTTAATTAAAAAAACATATTTTGGATGTTGCTTCATTTTAAAGCTTTTAAGGCACAAAAAGTGGTAAAATAAATGAATAGAATATGATTTATGATTTAGATTCTTTATTTTCGTACGCAACGCAAATTTGTTACGCCAACATGCCAACTCCACTCTAACGCTTAAAAATTGCTGAAAACAGTGGTACCTACAGTTTAGGTGATAAACAAAATTTGAACTGTTATTTATTGGTCTCGTCAATAAATATATACTGACCAATAAAAAAATTTCCACGCCCACAACAATAAATTATTTCCCACGGCAATAAGCGCCCATAACGATTAAATCTGTTTGCCGCCCACTTAACCCTACATTGAAATAGCGGGTAGATGGCGCTTTACAATCTCGCTTTTCTGCGTGTATCTCTTTTGCCCCCTTTATCTGAGTAACGGATATCTAATAGCGAATGGTCCGATTATAATAAGAACAAAATCCTATTAAAATATTTACAAAATATTAAAAAATATCATGGGGTCGGAAGCGCTTTCTTCTACCCGTGACATACTTTGCGACGAATTTAGTATACCTTTTTATTCCATAAGTATAGGGTGTACAGACTAAGCGGAGGTGTTCGCAGCTGATTTTTGACGCTACACAGCAACTAATGCATTGTATTTTGTGCAGTGGGCTAGGCGCCATTGTCTTGCTGGAACGAATATTTACTTCCCAGCCGCAATTGTTCAGCACTTTGCTTTAAATTGTTTTTTTAAATGTTGATGCAGAGACCTTTATCCACGATTGTCTAGATAAATATCAAATTTCCTAGGCCCCTGGCCGCCATACACCTTACACCATAATTTTACTTCCTCCATGTTTCACCGTGCTAACTAAGATATCATTTTTAAAAGGCTTCTTCGAATACACAGAATTTACTTTCGTTGGAAAATATAACTTAATTCCAGAGTTCTTGGGCTTTGAAATAAGCTCATTGGCGAAAGTAAAGTGTTTTTGCCCATTGAATTCCGAAATCAGTGGTATTCAGCCTTCTTTATGACACGGCAAACAGTTTCTTCGGAAAGTGTTTTGGAAAAACTATCCTCGATCTGAAGCTAAATTTTTCTTTTGTCTACGACAAGTTGTCTCAAGTAAAAAAAACAAAATTGTAGCACACGTTAAAACAATAATCAAAAAAAAAATTCTATACAGTTAGTGAGAATAAAACTAGGCCAAAAAAATTTTTCAAAAAGTAAGTTGTTTATTTTCAGTTTGTATGATTCTAATTAGCAAATCAAGAAGATGCGCTGAGCGGACTAAAGATAACCTTACATTTTCACCCTCTCAAATTATGGTAAAACACTATTGACTCTAAGTCAAATAATCTTAAAACACCCAGGAAAAGTTCTGCATTTTCTCAGTTAAGTAACGCTTTCTTGATTTAAGAAAAATGTATTTCACTTAAGAAATAATTTTCCTCTATTTAGAGAAATCTTAATGCCGATTTTCTAAAATGCGCATTTAACGTGCATTATCGACTCGCAGAGCCAGCAGAAAATAAAAGGGTCTTTAGTTGAAGACGACAGAGTACAATTTTTCTTAGAGCACACAAGAGCCATTTTAAGGAGATTAAATAAAATAGAATAATATATGAAAAATACCTCGAGTAAATTTGGCACTGGGATCAAATTCCAAAACCACAAAGGCACAAAACACGAAAAAAAATAAGAGCGCGAGATCGCGTAATAATTAAAACGTAAGAGAGCACGAGAGAAAAAATCTTCTATCGATTGAGCGTTGCTTGTGGGACACTGACAACTTTACGCAGGAACAGTTACAAAGTAAAGCAAGCAAGAGAGAGAGAGAGAGAGAGAGACAAGAGAATAGCACACCAAAAGTCTACCAGAAATTTGGCAGGTTCAGAGAGAGTTTAAGTTACAGTTGTAATATAGAGCGGGAGAGAGAGTGAGAATCGAAGAGTTTTAGCAAGTTTAGTGAGTATAAGAATTACACTAACAAAGCTAGTAGATTAAACAAATCTAATATAAATGTTAAAATAACTATAATCACTGGGAGATCTAGTAAAAAACACTAAACACACTAACCCAGCGGTTAGACTAAGCTTTGTTAATAAACAAACACAAAACACTCGCAAAAAATCACAGAATAGACAAAAAATTCAGAGCACAAGAGTAAACACAACCGTTCACAAGCGACGCTAAATCATATTAT